AGGGCATTACTACTAGTAGCAAGAAGCTACTAGAAACAAGTGCATCGCTACTAGATGCTTGATGCTCACTTTGTTGCTGCTTCGTGGTTCGCCCCGTCCCACGCTCCACCCCGCCTGCGTTCGGTACGAAGCCGGTACCCGTGCCGTCCCACACACCGTCGACCCATCCGCCCGAGGATGTTGCACCACGCGTTCGAGTCCTTTGTGCCATGGCGGATCGCAGAAGGATCGCAGAAGTTCCCAGCGATCGAGTCCCTAGCAAGTCTGCTTGTTTCAATCGCACCAGTAGCTGCGAGAAAAGCAAGGTGTCAAAGAGAGAAGAACTCTTTGTCGCAGTGCTTTCGATCGGGAACTCATATCCCTGTGGGATTACCACATCCCTGTGCACAAGAAGCTATATACTCGGGGCTCCTGGCATCGCTACGAACGGAGCAAAGGACGCTACTAGAAACAAAGACTGTGCACAGTTGATCGTCCAGTTGTGCCCTAAAGGGTCGTTCGACGGCAGCGCGCGTGTGCCGTCGCCGGTGCTGCGACCGCCGCAACCGCCCAAGGTGGTGAATGCGGCCATGACCGTCCACTTGGTGCAGGCACCGCAGAGCTTGAGCAATCGACCGTGGGGTGCATGTGCATTTGGCGCATATTCCTTTGTTTTCCCTCTCTTCATCTCTCCTCCTTTGCCTCTTCTTGGATCCAATCTATACTTTAGGGTAGCCAGGAAGAGTGCCGGTGGCCCCTGAGATGCCTGCACGACACGCGGGTGGTTTTTTTTTGTCCGTCTTTGGACGGACAAGATCTCGGACCAATCCACAGCGTAGGGAAAAGGCCCCAAAAGCCCAGATCATCCCAGCTCGACCTCCCAGCTTGACCCCCCCCCGCAAAAAGGGAACTAGACCGGTCAACCCAGCCCGGGCCAGGGGGCCTCTCCCTATTTCATATACCCTAGACTTCCGTTGGACCATTAAAACAATGGTTGAATTGGTTTTTGGTAGTGTACAATCCTTAGTTGATTCGGTATGACCCTATTAAATTCATGGTGGTTGTTGGAAGCCTACAGTATACACACTCCATGGAGCGACTGCTTGGGGAGATGGATCAGGGGCGATGCACCGCCCATCGCAGGTGCGACCCGAGGGCGCCGTCTCGCCCTGCGCATTGGACCTGGCCCTGGCGGCGGCGGAGGTGAGATGAAGTCATTTCTTCCTTTACCAGGACCGACACCAAGAGGTGTCTATAAATAGCCTCTTAGTGGTTAGGCTGTCCAAAAACCACCTCTTGGAAGGTCCTGGTACTAGCTGGTTTGGTGGGGCTTTGCTTTTCGTGCTTTTGGTGGATGTGCACATGTCGGGAAGTCTTTTTGGAGAGCTGGCAGACCTTTTCAACTCGAGTTAACATCCTACGTGCAGCAAAAAGGAGTCAGAAATATCAGAAATGCCATTGCAAGATCTTCCATCTTTCTCTTCCCGAGTTGTTTGTAGCAGTTCACATCCCCTGATACTCTGGTTCTGTTGGCATGTTCCAACTGACCGGTCACTTTAGCTAGCAGTCACCATCCCGGTCACAACCCTTGTGGGGGTGATGATGTACTGCCAAGGTACAAGAATCCCTTCAGTTGGGACCGTGACACATGAACAGACTTTTTCTAAGATCCAACGGTTTGTTTGGGTGCGTTCTTGTTTTGGGATTCAACATGAAGGTGCTTTGGTGTCCACCGGATGGATGGCTTTTTCAGATGGAGGACACCTTCGGACGCTTGCTGATCCACCTTCGTGGCTCCCGAAGAGAGCAAGAAGACCGTGTGAAAGAAAGGTTCCGAAGAACTATTCACCAGGGGTCACATGGAGTTGGGTGGTTAATGGGCACCCCATCCAGTCGTGAGTGGGTGGAAGTGACAGGGGCACAGCGACTTCCGCCATTAGTTGATCACTCCGTCTTGTGACTCCTGGTCTTCATATTTTCGATATATTTGGTGGGGGCGTCTTGAGATCTGCCTCCGGTGGTCCAGATCCACGGTCTCTCCCACGGTCCAACCGTGGAGGCTATGGGTGCCGCGTTGAAGCAGCGCCTGGGCGAGGAATTTCTCTGAGAGGAGCGGATTTTTGGGGTTTGATTGTTACTAGTAGCTTCTTGTTACTAGTAGTCAATGACCACCAACCTACTAGCGATGGCCTCCAACCTAACAGCTTCTTGCTACTAATAGTAATGCCCTTGTCACTAGTTTCAAGGACTGACCAGGTTGGAATTTCAGGCTGGGTGTTTTATCGCACCAATCGCACCGGATTGGATCTGCAAAAGTTTGATTTTCCATTCGCAACATGCCGACCCATTGTCCGGTCGATGGGTCTGAAACCACAACACGCAGCCTATGGGGACAAAGAAGAGTGACCTTATTGTGCCTTTGCCATCCCCTTATTCCAGATGTCTCTTCTTCGGATCTTCAACAAAAGATCCACCCAACCCTGGTTCGGCCCCGCTTCGCTGGTGGCCTTTACAGCAAACCCGGCTACTTCGAGGTGTGTCAGCATCGATGTGCGCCGGGCCGGGGTCACCGCCAGCTCCAAGGGCACTCTCTCGACCTGAGTGACGCCGCACGCGCGGTGAAACAAACGCGCGGCGCGTTCAGCACTTGGGGTGGAGGAGGTTGGTGGGGGGGTAAATGGGCGATCTGAAGGCGTGTGGAAAAACCAGGAAGGGGAAGAGGTGTTTGGGTCGTGCTGACATTGGCAGTTGACATGTCCCTTCTTTTGGGATGGTCTTGGAAACCTAACCTATTGGCCTGTTAAGAACGTGCTCCACCCCTCCAAGGTTTAAAGCAACTGGAGCTTTCAAGATGGTCCTTTGGACTCGCTTGTCACTTGTCTCCCAAATTCAACACCTCTACATCATGACGTCGATGGAACGTCCGTCGCGCCGTGACTTCGTCGTCCCACGCTCCGTGGCACCGTGGCACCGTGGCACTGAACGGGGATCCGACTCGCCCAGCGCGGAGCGAACGTCGTCGGAGCGAACGTCGTCGGCTCCAGGCTGCTCTACCAGCTGAAAATGGCTTCCGAAAGGACCGCGAGATCGACGGCGACGCGGAGTACTGTAAGCGTTTTTGGGGGCGTGGGGATCGGAAGAACAGATCAGTGGTCATTTTTGGGAAGGCAAGGGATGAAGTATGAGTTGGACGAGTAAGTATGAGACCCTAGCGCCCCAGCACAAGGATCTTTTCCTCCATCTGCCGTAACGAGTATCAATCAGCCAAACCACTTTCAACGCGGCCCTTCACATCCGATGTTTTTTTTGTCAAATCATGGATATCTCCATTCGACTGCTCTTTCCAGTGTCCTCTTTGCCCTTTCCCTCCTTCAAAAATTCAAAAAAATGAATAGAGTGACACCCTGCGTCGTGACCTGCGAACGACGCGTCGTGAACGCTGCTGACCTGAGGAGTGAGCGTCCTGTGCTGGCCCTCCAAGCTTCTGCTCTAGAAATGCAGGCCTGGTCGGGTTGCGACGAGGGAGGGAGGGGGGGGAAGACTGGCTGGTTGAGTTGGCGGACATAGGAGAGAGGATGACCTTTCAAGCCTGTTAAGGAGAGAGGATGACCCAATGGTTTTTGCCAGAAAGCTCTTGAGCTCGTTTGAGCTCTGGTCTTGCCCACGACGACTTCTTGAAAAAGAATTCGACTGTACGATGAACACAGGTTTTTCTTGTGATTTTTAATGACATGTAAGATACTATATAGTTGTGTTTTCTTTTCAATAAATTCGATTTTCTAAACATGTTTGTGAAGCTACTGCGGAATGTCCTCCCCATCCGGGCTTGTAACCCAGAGCCATGCCATCTGCCATTCTAAGGCCACCGGTGGCCTTGCCAGTTGAAAAGCACCCCAAAACACGGTTGGAAGGTGATCGCAAAATGATTCAATGGTTTCTTCTTCCAAGGGCTTCCACGCTTAGATGGTTGAGCGGGCTTTGGATGGGCGAACGGAACGGCCCAAACGGAACCACCCGGCCACGCAGGCCAGTGTGGGCTGGCCCGGCGCCTCCATGAAGGCGCTCCGCGTTCGCTCCCGCGTTCGTTCGCAGCGGGTTGGACGAGAGGTTGGAGCAAGAGCTGCGTTCGGACAGAGTGAGTCCCTAGGCCAGTGAGGGGACACAAGTGAGTTGACCCCATCCAGTCCCATCCAGTCCCATCCAGTGAGTGAGTTGACCCCGTTGACGCTGCGTTCGGGGTCACATGGAGTTGGGTGCTTAATGAGCACCCCATCCAGTGAGTGGGTGGAAGTGACAGGGGCACCCCGACTTCCATGGATCGCTCGCATCCCGACGCCTTTCAGCACCTCCTAGTGGGGACATTTTGGGACCCTTTCTGACTGCGAGGTGGAAGCACGAATGAGACATCTCAATTTCAGTGTGTTTGTTGAGTCAATTGGTGCGTGTCTTTTCGGTGGCGACTGTGGGGGGTGCAAACGGTGAACGACCGGGGGAGTTGGGGTCATGTTTGTGACATGAGGAGGAGGTTCTCGTTTGTGCTAGCTGCTAGAGGTCCGTGTTGGAGACATCAACATCGGAGTGGGCCACAACGAAGCTCAAGGATGGGACTACTAGTGGGTCTTTTCTTCTTCGACCTATAGGGAGTCTCAGGATAGGCTGGAACCGAACGAGTCCATATGCCAAGGTCTATCAACTGGAACATCGTTTGTCGTTGTCTAAGACAGCTTTCAAACAACGCCAATGTGCCCTGGTGTCCAGCCAGAAGCAGCAGATAGAACTGGCAGGTGGGTCCAAATCTCAAGAACAGAGGACCTGTAATGGGTGGGTGGGGATAGTCGGGGTTCGATGAGGATCCTGCAACCAACATCTTCAAGACCCTGCAACCAACTGAACAGGCACTCCCTGTTGCTTCGCCGTGGGTGCAGGTGCGACAAGCACGCGTAGAGAAACTCACTCGGAAGTTCGAGTTAGAGAAGCCAGGGAAGCTCAGTATACACGAACGCCTACGCGCGTATCCCCGCGCTGCGACCGCGACCGTGTGAGGGACTGAAGAAACGCCGACCTGGAGTCGGTTGAACAGAGGGGGGACAACATAGAGGACTTCACGAAATCTGTCAGGACTTACTGAAGTTCTTACAGTATGTCATGTTTGCATCTACCAATTTGGACATGATGTTTGGGGGTGGACCGAGAGCCCATCCACAGCAGGCTTCCAGTCGGCTGGATGGGCAGCTGCGGCACCAGATGTGAATCCTTAGTCTCCGACCTGAGTTGATGTGGAAGGCCACACCTGTTGTTTCAACTCTGAGACCAGACCGGGGTGTGATAGCGACCCCCTGATATAACCCTCATCGCGGTGAAACGAGTCCATGTAGCTCATGTAGGTAGAATCACCCCTAACCAGGCCCAACCCTTCGACCAAGTAGAGCCTTCGAATCTCCCAGTTTCCCTTCCCGACCCAGTCCCTTTTTTGCTCCGAATGGGGCTGGCTGACGATGTCGCCGCCATCGCGGGACGCAGCGTTCGAACGGTGCGGGACGGGCTCCAGGCATAAGCAGGAGATCGTGGCCTTCGAGATGGATCACATCGAACAGGCCGGGTTTTGGAGGAGGAGGTTTTGGTGGGGGGATGGTTTCTTTTTTGGGGGGATAGTTTGCGTAGCTGCGGCGCCGACCAGCTTTCCTTTTCTGGGAGGGTGGCTGGTGTTTTGAGGGTTGGTCGGAGATGGGGAGGGTCTGCTATGGTGGGGATCTGGTGATGGGTGGGAACATACATATAGATACATATAGAGATATATCATAGTACTGGGGCCTGCCAGTAGCCTTTTGATGCATTTTGAGGTGTTTGGTGTGGGTGCCCGGGCTGCCCAACACATCCCGAAGCCAGCGCCGAACCGGGGCCGCCGCACCGGGCCGAGGCGCATGTGGAGGAGCAGCGACAGATCCATCGTTTTAGTCTTCGGGAGCGTCTGCGGCAGAACCGGGCGAGGGCCTCGGGGCGTACCCGAGCCCGCGCGCGTACCCCGCGGTCCGCGGACCCGTCCGCGGACGGTGCGCACAGGCGCATCGAAAGAGGTGTTTCTTTTTTTTTCAGGCCTTCCATGTGTGGGGGTGTCTCAAACTGGGTCACATGCAAACAACTTGGCAGGTCGCATCCTTTTTCAATTTGAGGTCCGGATTTTGCAGGCGAGCTTGCAACGAGAGGCCGATGCTTCAGAAGCCAACAGAGCATAGCAAACTCTGCCAAGTTCTTGAAGCAAAGCGTCGACAATCCAGAAAGCCAATACCAACTCTTGCTTCCATAGAGAGGTGTGGATTTCTGAGTTGTGGATAGTGATACAATCACAAGAGGTCCATCAGTCCATCATCATCACCACCACCATCACCATCACCATCACCATCATCATCATCAGCATCAGCATCACCATCACCATCATCATCATCATCATCATCATCATCATCATCATCATCATCATCATCATCATCAAAGCATTTTCTTTCTTTTAGATCCATCACCCCAAGTTGCCATGACTCGACTCGTCTTTCATGAGAAAAACACCGCCTCTCGGATCCTCGCGGAACATCCGGTCGACCGTCCCGAAACCGAGGCGGCGAAGGATGAGTGGGAGGCCAGAGGCCACGAGCTCTGGCAGGAGAACATGAAGGCGGGGTCACATGAGGCTATGAGCGCCCAACTGGGCTGGTAACATGACAGAATGTGATGTTCATGGCTGGGTAACATGACCTTTCCCATTTTGACTGGGTCATGCAGGAAGATGAGGCCACTTTTCAATTGAGGGAGGGGGACAAAATCGATATATTTGGCCTCATGACTTATATGGCCTCTACTTGTGTCCGGTACTTGTGTAGGGCCATGAACTGAAAAAAGTTGTTCTAAGTGGTTCCCCTGCAGAGTCCCTTGAGTGAAGTCCATTTGAGGGAAAAGAACCCAACACATCGCGGTCCGAGACCGTCGGCTCTAACAGACCCATCGGGTGCCTCGGGACGACGTTCCGAGCAACGCGGACGTTTCGTCTTTGGGTGGGTTGAGACATCGGCCAGACCGTCTGGTCTGTCTACATCCTCAAATAGGTCGAACGAGCAAAATTGAAGGAACAGACAGCAAACAAACTGGGAGAATCAAGGTCTGGACGACTCTCAGGACCGACAGCAGTTGACCTCGGAGTTCTCTGACCCTTGCTGGCACCTTGTGACAGACAGACAGGCAGCAAGCACCGATATCCCTTCGGGTCCCTCTTTGAAGAACCAGGTTTTGGATGTTTGGATCGAACCCTTGAACCCTTCCGGCGCCTTTTTGGGGAGCCAAACGGAGAGCTCGCTGGGAGCTCACTGGGTGGAAAGCGATCGCCTCGCCTGACTCAAGCACCAGTCCGGTGGGTTCGGGGACAGCGGTTCAGACTGGATCAGCTCGCAACCTAAGGATCGTTTTGTCTCGTTTTTGTTTGGCCAGCGGAAAGTAGACCATACCAACAAGTTGGGCAGAACACGATGGTGCACCACCTACACCTCCATTTGTACCGAGTCATCAGGTGGGCGGCTGAGTGACCCAATCATCGGTTCACGGTCTTGTTCACCGAGAACCATCGCTCCGGCGATTTGGGTGTCTTCGATGTCCCTTCGGTGTCACGACGTGAGTGAACTCGTGACCCTTCTCTTCGTGACCCGTTCCGGAGAGTACCGACTGGACGGATCCGGCGTTGCCGGATCGGGATCCGGCGCACTTCCCGACGGAAAACAGGTGCGCATGACAAGGGAGAACGAGCAGATGCGCTTCTCCGACAAGGTCTTGAGGACTCAACAGGCGCGGGGAAATCCGATCGGGTGTGGGAGCGAGTCGAAGAGCAGGCGAACAGGTGGTGGGGATGAGTGTCTTCTTGACAACGTGTTTTTGTGATTTTTTGGTCTTCTAGAAAAAGGGCAAGAAAAGGATCAAGAGGATATTGAGGAGACAGATGAACAGGACTGCTTTCCATAGCTTTCCTACCTCTCGCAGTTTTTGCAGAGTTTCAGCTTAAGTCCTCCTGGTGAGCAGCTTCTGGCGACCAGCTTCTTGAGTGGAGCAGCTGTATTCTGAACAAACTCAAGGCCTTGGCATGGTGCGTCTTGCCCAAACGCCCGCACGTGCTTGGGGTCGTCGGCATGCTTGCTCGGTACTTGAGTGGACCATGCAGTGGACCGTGCTCGTTGGACTCAAAGAACCGTCAAGCTCGGCACAAATCTGTGGATCTTCCTTGCCGGTGAAGGGCATACAGGCCCTGCTCCAACATGTCAGCAGTTCTTTCAGAGTCTTCCCTTAAAGCAACTACGCTTTGGGTGATCTCCCTTGAAACCCTTGAGCATTCGTGGTGTCGGGTGTCGGGCATTCGTGGTGTCGGTAACACTCCCGAACGCTCCGTTCGCAGCGATGGGTCCTCTGGTTGCGTTCGTTTCTGCCAGGAGCTGCTCGTGCCGTTTCGTGGCGTCCGAGCGCCTCCGAGGGTCTGCGGTCTCGGTCTCTCCGGTCTCTCCGGTCGTCCGGTCGTCCAGCAGCCTCCGGACAGCGCACGGGACGGTTAGCGCCTCCATATTGCACGTGTGGGAACTTGGCCGGGTGGGTGTTTTTTTCGGTACATCGGCCTGCTCTCTGACTCGATTTGCGGTCGGCGGTCGCCAGGAGAAAGAGCTCACGCTCCGTCGACAGGCGGCCGAAGAGGTCTTAAAGGGTACACAGGCGGGATCTCACCGGCACGACTGCAGGGGGGAACGACTGCGGTCGGAGCCACCGAATCTGGGTGAAGATCGGGGTCACCAGCGTGATTGGTTCGGTGTTCCGGAGTTCCAGGGTGCTGATCACAAGTCAAGCTAACTTCACTTGAAAATACTCACACTACTACAGTTCAATTTCTTCAAAGAAATCCTTGGACCCAGATTGTTAGTAGTCAAAGTGCTACAAGTCCTTGGTCCAGTAAGGAAGACACTGAAGACATCTCACTTGTTCGAAGGTAGTTAGCAAGGAAGCTCCTCAGTTTGCTGACTGCTTAGAAGGGACTGAGGGAATGGGTCCAAAGGGATAGGGACCCCGACACCCTGGACGAAGGGAACTAGACAAGTCTACCCATTGGTCGGAGACCTTCCTAATTCAAGCACTCACCCGTATTCTCTCATTACCAAGCACCTGTCACCCTAGGCTTCCTGGCCCACCATGAATTTAATAGGGTCATACCGAATCAACTAAGGGTTTGACACTACAATTTCACCAGGTCGTTCCCAGTCTTTTAACGGTCTTGGAAGTCTGGGGCGTCAGTTTGTGTGCTTTGATTTTTGTTTCGTTGGGCGTTCGCGGGCCTTCGCGGAACAACTCGGGGTTGGACCGACCGGCATCGCTTCGGTTCCACGGGGCCGCCACGCTTCCTGTGAGTAGGAAATCCGGAGACACACATAGCACTCCCAGTCGTTGAATTCATAAGAAAAACAGCGCCACTAAGAGTAACATAGATTGATGGGAAGTGAACTCTCCACTGCACGGCCGCAGCCCCTCTGCAGCGGCCGCCACGCTCGACCGGAGGACTTCGAGAGCGGCCTGGTGACGCTGGGCCTGACGAAGACCAAGGAGGCACCGCACGTGGCACCGCACGTGGCACTGCTCCAGCGCACGGCCGGTGAGAGGCGTTGTCGCGTTTTCGGTGTTCGGTCGGTGTTCGAAAGGGGTGAGGACGAGCGAAGGTGAAAGTGGGGAGAGCTTGGAAGACTCATTGAAGAATCCCTTCAAAAACTCGGAAAACGAACCAAGCAATGGCCCAATAGAGGTGAGGTTGAGATAGTTGAAGCTCACTGGTTAGGATGCGAGAGGTGGAGATTGGAGAGTTTATGCAAGAAGGCCAGTGATGAAGAACGTTGAAGGTTGTTGATGACCAGTCATGACAGTCCCAGATCCTCTGGAATCCATCTTGAAGCAGATTGGAAGCCACGCGACTATCTGATCAAGCCCAGTGGATCTAGTTACTGTACCGTGATCAAGCAGTTCAAGAGTTCCAGTTCTAAAAGACGACACACGCTTTGACCAGTTCGCTTCACCCAGTTCACCGCAGGTCGGTTCCGTTTTCTCTTCAGTCTTCGATCCGATTCGATGCCACCGATTGGCATCCGCCGTCTCTCGGAGCTCCGTGTCCATACGACCTGCGCACGACCTGCGGGGTGCGTCGGACTGGCCGTGCTCGGCGGGCCGTGCTCCACACGACTGGGACGCGCGCCGCGTGGGACAACGACCCGCGCGTCACGCGGGCGGTGCCAGGATGTGATCCCAGAAGACAGCTCCGAGTCGGGGGCCTCACCTGAACACCTGACGACGTCGGACCGAGAACTCCCAATCCGAGCACGGGTCGAGGGTCCGGACTCCGGACGTCCGAACCCTATAGGTTGGTTCAGGTGCCCGGAGTCTTAGGGTGAGGTCCTTTTTCGGGCGAGTTCCTGCTTGGGAGAGGGAACAGCCTGTCACAGAACAACCACCGGAGGTCTGAACCGGAGCCATTTCCCAGCTCCGGCATCTGACATGTTTTTTGCTTTGCGTGGTTGGTTTAGTTGTTCAAATCCTGAGGTGGGGACCTAGTGTATCAGGCAATGTCCACACATGAGGGTTTCATCTTGCAATCTCTTTGGACGTGGGAGTTCCCTTGCGCTTTGTTTGATCTTGTTAAGTAGCTTCTTGGTTGAAGTGTTGTGAAATTTGTCTTGAATCGAAGTATGGGTACACAGGCATAACTTGTGAGCCTGCTGAGTGGTTCTCTGCAGGGATTTTGAGCGTCTACTCAATCTTCTCAAGGTGGATGGAGGGGATGAGTTTGCGGACATTTATGACACAATATGTTATATATAACTAGATGACCACAGACAGGGTATATTGAAAAAGGGGGAGATTGGGGCATCAAAGCCAAGGTTTAGGCCTTCCATCAAGAGCACTGGGACGAGTCCTGGTTTGTCCCGGTTTCTGAGGCTCTGAAACTGGACAAACATTGAAAAACATTACGGTAGGTAATGCACATGATCGGGCAGAGATGTGTCACTCTTCTTCCATTGCTGTAGTTCAGAGTAGTCTCCCCCCTCTCCCTCCCTCAGTTCCTAGTCACTGCCTTGGGGCTAGTCTCAACCCAGAGTGCATGGCAAGTACCAGGACCTTCAAAGTGACCTTTTGAATCCTTTTGATATCCCAGGATGAGGTCACTTAAGCCCGTAAAGGCTTAGAGACTCCAAAGAGGCCACTTTGAATGTCCTATGAGTTCTGCTGAAATGCCATGCACAGTTCCACCTCTGCCTGTCGACCCTCGAATGCCTCCGCCTTGGAGAAGTCCCAGCCCGCAACCAGGGCTTCGTACCATCAGGGTTAAGCCGCTGAAGTGGTGGCTGTGGGTCCCTGGCACCGGAACGACAGTCTGGTCAACCTACCGGGGGTGAGTTCTGGTGCCATGACGTCACCAAATGGCAGGCAAGCCTCCCGCTCACCCAAAGGAATCTGAGGAGATCTAGAGGTTCCAGCAGAAAGAACAGTGAAAGCCTAGTAGTTCTATACAGATGGTGCAGCAACCTCCCAAATGATAGAATCAGGACAAAAGCCAGTCACAAGTCGGAAGAGAAGGACCCTTCTTAAAAAGCCAAGCTGATTCTCAGCTCTTTTGTTTCTTCAAAAGACCCACAGACCTTTAGACCGTTCTCTTGTTCCAAGTCTGCTTCTTCTCCCTTCAGGGAGGAGACGGACTCCGTGGAGAAGCGACTCGGCGCCCGAGAGACAACGTCGGCGTGACACGCTCAGCAGAGCATGACGACTGGACGACACACAAAGACCACCGGTTTCACCGGTTCCGCCAAAGAAGAAAGCTGACGAAGATTCAAGGGTTCTTGAATTGACTTGCCATGGAAACACCAAACACAGCGCAGCTCTTTGAGCGCGGTTTGTTGGGGAAGAAAGGACATCAAGAACATCAAACACCACCCTCAGCAATGCTCCAGCCTTACGACGGGTGGGTGCCGACGGCCGAATCCCGGCAGATCTCCTGTCCGAACGCGCCCCGATTTCGACCCCCGTGCGATTTCGCGCGCGAAAAAGACACCGAAAACCATTGGGAAGACCGAAAGACCGAGCCGGCGGTCTGATCATGGTCCCTTTGGAGAACTTTGGTACATCAGGGTTCGTTGCCAAGATATTCGATATCCCACAGACCACCTGAAAAGCATCAGTTGAGGGGAGGTGGGAGGTTGGTGGGGAGGTCTTGGTTCCCAACCAAGCAACTCCCCTCCCCACCTCCCCACCTCCCCTGAAACCACCTGAACCCCGCCCTGAAGCCTCAACCCGCCGCCGTTCTCAGCGGAACCTGCCTCGATCGACCCCTGGCATGTCCGTCCCGTTGACCGAGGCTGTTGGCCCAGACCTCGAAGGTCGCCAGCGCCAAGGAACTGGTCGAGGCGCTTCAAGCCAAGCTGCCGACCGGTCAGGCCGCGGGCGTGGTCGCGGGCGCGGTCGCGCACGCGGGCAGGTTTGTATTTTTGGTGTGCTGTTGAAGCTGGAACTGCAAGATGTGAAGGTCAAAAAACGGAGGGTGGAGTGAAAAATGTGAACAGAAACTTCTTGAAACTGGAATGCTTAGCTGTAGGCCCCTGGGGCGATTTCGGGTATTGTGGTGACGTGGTCTTGTATCTATAGTTAGATTGCTGAGATATAGTGGTCCCCAAATAGATAGTGGCACGGTTTCCAATACATTTTCTACGTGGGGATCTACGAACTTCTATCTATGACAGGGAGCCTATGAAATCTGCGTTGCGAGATGGTTTGCATGAGAGCATCGGCGGCCATGCACGCGCCGACATGAAAAACCTACTGTTTGCTGGCCGCAAAAGGATGATCCTCTTGGCCGAAACCACAGGAAGCTCTCTGAACTGCAAGCGCAAGTTGTTGATCCTTGTTCTCACCATTTTCCGTTGTCAAAGAATATCTTTAAGGACGCTATTAGGTGGAGGCCATTGCAAGTAGTTTGGAGGCCATCGCTACTAGGAGCAAGAAGCTACTAGTCATACTATCTAGGGAGCCCGGGAGCAACTTCCAACCCATCTTCTCTCTCTCTCTCTCTCTAGATACAACGATAGTATACAACGTTCACTGCGGTCATAGCGAAAGCACCTTCGGCCCTTGGCCCTTGGGCCCGCGGGAAACCCGTTCACGTGGCAGGAGCTGAACTACGAGGCCAACCTCTTCATGCGAAAGATCAAGGAGTTACGTTTTTATCTTTTGCTTCAGACACCTGGAAACTGAGTAACCTCTATTCTGGACCACCAACCATCCCAAACTGAGTAACCTCTATTCTGGACCACCAACCATCCAACATGTTGTCAAACTTCCTATCAAAACAGGGACAAGTAGGTTCTAGGTCTGATCTGATGGGAGATTACGATGGTCTCTTCAGTCTGTTGAAAAAAAAGAATGCGGCCGGCAACACCTGACCCAACGAAGTATATTTAGATCTATTTTGGTGTCAAGGGCCAATGCGCAGAGAGGCGGAGAATCCTTTTGTTAAAGCACAATGTTCACCATAAAAGGGCATGGCAAAGGTCTCAGTTCCATTCCGTCGGACACTGCTAGATGACGTCTGCACGACAGCAGTGTCCTTGGCGTTGTCACCCAAAACACCGCCCCAACAAGGTGACCCTTCAAGAGTAAGACCAAAAGCTCAATCACAAAGCAACACCAAGGCTGCAAAAGGAAAAAGAAGTCCACTCTGAAGTTCAGTTCGACCATATTTGGCACCACCGAAGTAAAGTGAAATTCCTAGACTTGGGTCATCTTTCCTCAACCGTTCTATTTTTGTTGACTGGACCTTTAGGGTATATGGGTTCACTTTATATATGTTCACCCTTTCAAACTGCTTTTAGGGGTGGATCAGCACGGGTCCTTTTCGGCGATTCGTGTCCTTTGGTCCTTTCCGATCCGAGTGTTTCTCCAAACAGAAGGCGTTCGTTTTCCGGAACCGCCGACTCAAACCCAGCCATTGAAGTCGAACAAAAGATCGGACTGCTCAGTTGAGATCTCCGAAAGAGGTGTTGAGTTGTCAAGGGGTGGCCCCTTAACGGCTAAGGGCCTACAAATAGACACCCCTTGGAGGGTCCTGGTATATTCTCTGAGTGTCCCAGCGGTCTTGGCGACATGCTCCGGCGACCGTGACCACGTGCTAGTGGCCCCGTGGCACGCGTGGCCCGGCAGTTTCGACGCTCCGCGTCTCGCTCGCGGACCGCGGGACGTCTCTGCAAGGAGTCTAAGGAGGCTGGCGCCATCGCGCGCCGGGAGCGGGAGCGGCGGCGCCGCCGAGTGCTGGTGGAACAGCAGCGCGAGCAGGAGATGAACGTCCTGCGTGAGTTCTCTTCTTTGGCGCGTGGGAATGGGGGTCAAGGGAGGAGGCTCACAAAAGCGAGGAAAGTAAAGGTTGGTTCGGTTTGACTTGGTTAAGGTGGCGCCCATAGGTGGGAGTGCATGGGTGGGGATTGTTGTGTTCTGTGATTGGTGGCCGGACATCAGGAAAAGACATACCTATAGATCTTCCAACTGTGCAACATTTCTGCCGTTTCATGTGTAAAGCCAGCCAAAAAGGTGGAAATTGTGCATAGTTGGAAGATGTTGGAAGGTATATATATGTATATAGGTATGAAAAGATAGCTGTTTGTTTCAGGCGATGAAGTTCATGCTGAGATGCTGAGGGATTGTTTTTTTTTTTTTTCATGATGTCATATGCTTATTTGAGTGCAGTTCCCCAATGTGTCTATCTCCCTATTTCAATACACACCCATATATATAGAAGAAGAAAAAGAAGAAGAAGAAGAAGAAGAGGAAGAGGAAGAAGAAGAAGAAGAAGAAGAAGAAGAGGAAGAGGAAGAGGAAGAGGAAGAGGAAGAGGAGGAAGAAGAAGAAGAATAATAAGAAGAAGAAGAGGAAGAGGAAGAGGAAGAAGAAGAAGCCGAAGAAGATGCCTAAGCCGCTCTAAACGCTTGTGAGAGATTCGGAGGCCTTCAGTCTGAGTGGTGCGTCAAACATTGGGAACTCTGGTGACGACACCCCGCATCCCGGAAACCTGCTGCTGTATCCCACCCGAACCCCACTCCGAACCCCAAACAAATCAATGAATGGGTTTGGGGGAACATCTGCAGGAAACCATGGTTGTAACTCCCAAAACTGTGGTTAACTGTACATTCTCCCTTAAAACAACTCTAGGAAAAGGACGGACATCAGTTTTCACCAGACAAACTCTTCACCCATCCCACCTGATTCGGCGTGTCTCGCTCTTTCTGCACCACTCCTATCGGGTTTGGTACAGAATCCATCTACCGAACGCAGGATCCATTTCACCTGTGCAAGACATGAATTGTCGCGCTGGATGGTATCTGATGCCGCGAGATGCCGCGAGCACTTAAATTGAAATTATGGTGTGTATCAGGCGGCTGGACGTAAGATAGCGACGAAGCGTATCTTGCAATTCGTCTCAGGTTTCAAGTGGCAATTCTGGAATTTGTGTGGGGTAGGTCACACCAAGCACATGAACACACTGGTCGAAATTTATGGAATGGAATTCAAATAGACAAAAAGTTAGGAAATTCAAAGGTATTCACTGCGATATTTAAGATTCATGTCCGATCCACACCTTCGAACTCCCCTGCCCATTTTTGCCGGAGACCGCCAACTTCAGGAGATGCTCGAGGAGAATCAACTGGAGCAGGTCCGGGTCACCGCGGAAGCATGTTGAGCAGTGGTCGAGCAGGTTCATGGCGTTTTTGACCTTTAAAGGACCTCGCAGAGGTCTCCAGGTGGTGCCATGTGGTGGTTTTTCATAACGAAGAAGGGCCGGCAGAACATGGGGGGGGGGGTGTTGAGCATGGAAATTCGGGCCGCTGGTTTGTGAGCTTGATTCTGTGGATCGTTTTTTTGTCCGGGTTTAGGGTTTAGGGTGATGGAGGAGGGTGTTGGGCAATCGATTTTGGAGATAAGAATTCCAACGTTTCGCAGGCAAAAAAGGACCACTGCCTGCTGCAGGCTCGGAAAGAAGTTGAGGTGGAACATGTAATTCACAACCCGAAAAGCAGCCCTGGTCCACTTCCTCCTTTGCTCCTTTCTGCGCGAAAATCCGCGTCAGGTGCTTCTGGAAAAGCTGGGCCGCGAGTCCATCGAGGACTGCGGCGAGTCCCGCGGTTTCTGTTTTTCCGGATCCCCACCCGGTGAAGTTGAGGGCGTGACTGGGCAGTGCTTAGTTTTACATCCTGACCAGGCCTGACGCCAGCGTGCGTGGGGTGTTCTGTTTGGTGACCGGCCAAATATTCGCGACCCTTTGCCAGTTGCATCATCTACTTGATCCAATCTGGTCCGTTTTGGCTGAAGGGGGTTCCATAAGAAGATGCCTTTTGATCTTGTGGTACATATATGAGTGCTCTGGATGTTTCTTCTTGTAGACATGATAGTGGTTTCAGAGGTTCGATGGCGGGTTCCACCGGTGCAATGATGGACCCCCATATCAAACCCAGGGCATCCAGGCAGCTCCCCGTGCTCGTCGCTGGAGTGGTTCCAGGCAACGACTCACACCATAGACTCTGGGGTCGCCCCTGGGTTTCTTAGTACTCGTGCTTTGCCTGGGCACTGAGACCTCTTTGGACCCCCCATCTGCGCTCGGGTGACGGGGCGACCACCGACGCTGCGGCGGTTTGGGACCGGGGCGGGTGTCCCCGGCTTGGAGACGACGGTTTTTTTTTTTTTTCCGATGAAGAGATGAAGACCAAAATACCCCTCAAGACGTGGGTTCTTGGGTAACACCAGGTGATGTTGGGGATCTTGCTTCGACATGTTAGACTCTTTCTCTACTTCTTTCATTGAAGAAGGATGACTTGGTGGTGTTGTCGTGTCCCTTCGAGGTTCACAATCACCGGTGACTGCTTGACTGCTGGAGCCCCAAAACACCACACCGCGGCGATCCATTCAGCGCTTTTTCCAGGAGAGCGCCATCAGCTATCGCAGCTGGCGGGTGAACATGTTCGAGGAGGTCTTTGTCAGGCTGATTCGGGTCGTCGCGCTCTTCGAGCGTTTAGCCGCGAGCTGTCCCTTCGACGAGAGACGATGTCCCACAAGAGATCAAAGGAGGGTGAAAAGTGAGATATAGAGGTTTGTGGCAACCGGCGAAAGCAGCGGTGATTAGACTGGGATCCTTGCTATGGGTCCAAGAAGACTCTGTGACGAGTAACAGGAACACATGTGTAAGTAGGATCTGTGGATTCGCTTGGAACATGTTCGGACCCACATGTGGTTCTCATTTCCTCGTCTGCTTGTGAGGACCAAAAGGAGTTTAGAGAGAGAGAGAGAGAGGGAGAGAGAACCATTGGTTTACCAGTTTTTTCCGCCATTTTTTCCGCCGCCGGTTGAGAACCACCAGCTGGGCGGTGAATTTGCACCACGTCTTTTTCGTTATAGGAATCTCGTAATAAGGTTAATGGTCTATTCATAATAGAGGGATATTTTATATGGTTGGTAATAGACAGTTAACAATAGACTGCTAAATAGTTAATAGATGTTAATAGTCTATATTATATGGTTAGTAATCTAACTTTTGATACTTAAGACAGTGGACCAGGAACCTGGGGCTTCTCAATCTTGACGCCAGGAACCGGCAGGCGCGACAGCAACAGTACATCGCGCAGAAGCGGGCCGACAAAGAGGAGGCCGGGCTTTTTCGAGAGAAGGACTTCGTGGGACTCTTTCGAAGAATGGTTTGTATCTCTGTCCCTGGTTTGGAGGGTTACGGCTTATATAGGCGGCTTGAAACTTAGCACACAACGGACACACTGTCAAAAAGGACTCCCTGTGGAAAAAGATGCGATTCAAATTTGTGGCATAGGCCCGGACAAGATGAATTTGATTGGGAGTGTCTTGATTTGTTTGACTGTGGAACATAGGAACGTCCAGGGATTATGGGAGATGAAATCACAACACGAGGAGTCACGGAGAATCGCTCCTCTGCTTCACACGTTACTCCCTGTGTTCTGAGCTTAACACTCTGTTCGAACTTCAGTGCTTTGTCTGACTCTCAACTCGCTGGCCCCATTTGCTGCTTGGCCCTTCTCTTTCGCTGCGAAACCTCTTTTCTTCCAGCGAGGGATGGCAACTAGTGTAGTACGATTGCCCCTACACAACGTGGAGAGCCTCAACAACCGCACATAGTCCTTTCGTACTTCCAGTGGTATGTATATCGAAGAAGAACCTGGGTGTTTGAATCTGGTCTTAAAAATGGTGTGTTCGAAAAGAAAACCACATGTTTCCTCCATGTGCATCCCTCCCCTTTTTGCTTGCTTTGCAGTGGCCAGATCACCGGACCGGCTCCCGCTGGGCCTCACGGACCTCCCTTCGGGAACCCACGGCTGGCCGAGGCCTTGAAGCGAGACCAGGACGTGAATCGGTCAAGACGACCGTGACCGGAACCGGAGTGCCTGGGATCTGTTTTCGGACGCCACTGTTTCTGGTTCCCCCCCCTTTGATGGGATGGATCCCATGGTTTGGCTGGTTTTCGTCCAGAGCGGCTGGTTTCGTGTTGGGTCTGCAAAATCGGCTTCGTCGATCCACAGGACGAGATGGTGGTGCAAAGGACTTTGGACTCCGCCACCCTGGGAGTCAAAGACTATAAAAAGAATGGTCTTTAGGCGACACGAGTCTAGGAATGTCCTTTACTTCAGTCGGTCAAAGTATAGTCTTTGGACTTCTAGGGGCCATGTTGTGATATGATAATTCTGACCAACAACGATAGATCTAGATATACACACACACACACACTCAGTGATTAGTGGAGAGTATGTGGCGCACCTGTGGGCTTCCGAAGCCTGACCTGAAGTGATCCGATCTTGGTAAAGTGCCAATTTACTCTGAACATCTTCAAACTTTGTACACTCTGACGAACACATCACATGGAAGTGGAAAACCACGTGTTTGTAGAGGACAGTAGTCTCCCAAGTGACCATTTTCCACTTCGTGATGTGTTCGTCAGAGTGCAGCGACACCGAAGCATGGATCACCTAGGGCTCTTGTCTCTTGTCTCAAAAATCAGCTCCTCTTCTTGTCGCCGCGAGCTTTTCTCGCGTGCAGACCCAAACGGGTGTTTTCGAGCAAACTGTGCCGTCAAGAAGGGCCAGTTTCTGGAAGTGTTTCCAGCAAGGATCTCACCCCTTTGTCGATGCAAAAAAGCTTGTGCATGGTGTCCCAACACACATCCTCTTTTGGCGGTTGGGGGAGTGCGTTCAGAAAGAAAGACCTTTCAAGACCAGCGAACACGAACCCTTCGTCCGGACGAACCAGATCGCTTGGGGGCAGTGGGTCGAACGAAGCGAACCTGACGAAGCTACCGCACCATGGTTTCGACTGTTGCCCTAGAAGTCGAACCACCATGGTTTTACTAAGGGTTTTACACTACAAAACCAGATCAACCATTTTAAGAAATGGTCGACTTGACTTCCAGGGGTTGGGCAATTTCTCTGTTTTGCCCTGACACCGGTAGCTCCCGCCGCCCTATGCGTGGGACTAGGACTGGGACTGGTCGGACTTGTGCGTTGGACTCGGATTCAGATGACGCCAGGACCTGTGGGAGGAGATGATCGAATCCCTCAGAGAGCAAGAGGAGATGAGAGGGATCCACTCGGCCGCAGGAAGGTTGCAGGGAGATGAGGTTTTATGAGATGTAAACACTTCCTATGTAAGGCTGCAAGACATTGGTTCCATTTTCGGTGAACCAAAGGTGTTCCCGTGGCATTTTGTTCTAATCTATCCTGATTGGTTGGACCTGGACACATTCCCCTGGTCTTCTCTCCGCCGCGCTGCCAGGAGCGGGAGCGTGTGCGCTACCGTGCCGTCGAGTTCGGGCGCCCCTGAAGGGCGGCCGACCGGACCGCCGTAGTCGTCTCCGGGTGTGGGGGGATGGTTGTGGACATTTCCTTTGGCTCACATAAAGGCAGGCTACGAGATGAACCAAAACGACTGGAACCAAGGAGAAACGGGAAAAAGCACTGGAAGAAAGAGGGGCTGGGGGTAGATCCGTGGATTTCCGTCGAAACTCTTCAACCCTGTGGGGATTCAACAAGATGCTGTCTCCACTCACGTGGCAGAAACAATGAGCGAAGCAAGTGATCATCGGTCGTGTCCAGGGTCGTGTAATGTGTTTACGGGGTGCTGTCTTGAGTGCAAGTGATCATCCGAATGAAGGCACCAGTGCTCTTCGAATGAGTTCTGTTCCAAGTTTTAGCCTGGCACTCAAGGCTTTTCGACCCGTGGTGCCTTTTGTGCCGGCTTTTGGTGGGTGACTTGCTGTCTTGTGGTGGTTGGTGCTAGACTTCAGCCCAAGAAGCCAGAGGCGCCCCAGAAGCGCCCACGCGGGAGTCTGCATGAGCGGAGCGTGGGGGTTCGTCTCACCTCCATTCACCCGCGTTCACATCCAGAATCAATGCAGAAAGGTAGAATATGCCTGGACCTTCAAGGGGTGTCCTGTCTGGAGGTGTGTTAGTAGTGTGTATTTCAATAGGGACCCACAACCAATGGGTGGACTGGTCAATTTCCCTTCTTCCAGGGAGTCGAACTGGGAGGTCTCCCTATTTTCATACACACCCAGATGGTAGAATGGTTACACCAACTTTCTGGTTGTGGGTGTTGGTGGCAGTCATGCAGTCATCGGACTGTGCAGTCATGCCCGGATCATTGAGCTACTTAGGCGCTTGCGACATGCGAAGAGAAGAGAGAAGCTCAGGGAGGCCTGGGGCGAAGATCAACGGGAAGTTTCCTCCCGGAACCGGCCCCTTCCTGCCCCTTCCGTGAGACGGGCAGGTCCGGTTTCTCTCACATAGTCCTGAATTGCGAGCGCCAAAGAAACCCCGAAGAGTGGGCGACCTGTCCCAGTGCTTCCAAAAAGGAGAGTCTTGACCACCGGCTTCTGTGGTGACAGGTGCTTTGTGTTGAGATGTTTCGTGCTCCACCTCGCCGTTGCGAGCGCACCGGGGGGGACGAGCGACGGCTGCCGCCCGCCGGTGCATTGCGGGGCGTCTCCAGGAGATGGAGGGGATCCTGGAGCTTATCGTGCAGATGTCCTTCGCCTCGCTCCAGCAGGAAGTCCATGCCTTCGCTTTTTGCAATCAGCAGGAAGGTGCAAGGCTTGCAGTTCAGAGGCTTCCATGCCTTTGGTCGAGAAAACCTTTTAGACCACCATGGGGGGTTGTATTGTTTTAAAATAGGGGGACTTCCCAACCACTGGATTCAGTGTGTTTCATATTTTCCCAGAGGTCTTTGGGGAGTCTCCCTATATTCTCATACACACCCGGACCGGGAAGATCCTGCAGCCAATCATGAAAGCAGTGGGGTCAAGACACGCAGGAGCAGCTGACAGACCAGGAGGAGGCTCGTCCCACGGTTTCGACGGGCGGATCCTTCCGGAGCCCCCTTTGGGCCAGAGATATGGAGTTAGGGGTTCTACTTGTCTTGAACCTAACATTGGGGTTCTACCTAACATTGGGGTTCTACTTGTTATCGGTTTTGAACCCCCTTTTTTTTCCCCGGAACCGATGTTAGTGGTTCTACTTGTCTTCTGGTGGACCAAATTGAACAGTGCAAATCTGGGTTTGTCTCGACAGGGACGGAACTAGACCCGCAAGTGCCCGGGCACTGATCGATGCAGGAGTGGAAGGGATTGAATTCTGCTCAGAAATATGTGTTTGTTGAGAGGTTCCCCAAAAAGTGTGCCACTAGTTGGATAACTTCATTTCCACGCGTTCCCTGCAGATGCCTCTTGTAGATGAACATTCTTCTGAGAGAAGAAGAAGGAGAAGAAGAAGAAGCAGAAGAAGAAGAAGAAGAAGAAGAAGCAGAAGAAGCAGAAGAAGAAACGGAACTCGTCGTGAAGTCGATTGTAGAGACATGTCGAGCTTTGTTCAAGCCGTGCAGGGCTTCAACCTTCTAGTCACAGATCCATCCCAACATGGGCTGTTCTGCAGGCTGCCAGACCCTCGGACTCCAGCCTGGCGAACAGGTCGACTGCACCCTGTGGCGGGAATGGGTGTCTCTCTTCGAGGAGAACTTACCAGCCCGGAAGACTCAGCGGACGGACCCGGAAGATCCCACCGTTGGACCGTGGGCTCGTTCGACCGCGGTCGAACGGGCGGTGGGAGGGCGAGCCAATCTTTTGGGCCTCCAAAACTGAGACGATTGCCTTTCGTTTGTGAAAGCGAAGTAAGCGCGAAACCGAGGGTCGAAGAGGGCAAAGGAGAAGGTGGAGAGGAACTTCTCAGAGAGAAACATTCAGCAAGTCACAGCAGGCCCTCACTTGTGGACCAGGTAGGTCATTGTATATAGAGGGATTTGAATTGGGCCCTGACCTTAAAACTTTTGTTCATTTGTGTTCCCTTCGTTGGAACTTTGCATCTTGTGCGATGGCTCATCACACTTTCTGAGTAAACATATGGATGTGGGTCGCAAATATGAATGTGGGCCACGTCTCTTCAGAGTTGCAAGATGCGATCGATATCCATTTCCCCTCCCAACAAGCCCAGGCAAACTTCCGATCGAACGGAACAACACCCATGAAAACTCCTCTTTTTTCCAACACCTCCGCCCTAGAGACCACCTTGCCCGAAACCTACCTGCGTGGTATCGGAGTTCATAAGCTCTACCTTTACCAAGCTTGGACCTCTCTTTGGAGCTCATATTGGAACCTCTCTCTTTTGGGGGGGGGCCCATCTCCAGGTTCATGGCCCGTGGCCGTTCGGTCGTACGGTCATGGCCCGTCGGTCGTACGTGCAGGTGATGTCGCTGCCCAGCCTGCAGCTCTGCGCGGAGGAACCGCACCTGGGCCGCAGATGGGTGGAAGTCTCGGTCGGTCGGTCGGTCGGTCGGTCGGTCGGGTGTGACGAACGAGGTCGTTGGACGGGTCGTGGGGAAGACGTAGACATCAACGTGACATACATTGTGGGCGAGGGGTCGAGCGTTTCTCTTTTTGTGAGAGAAAACATATTTGTAATCATGTGTTTTGAGGTGATGTATCTCTTTTGTTCCCCAAACAGTTTACTGTTGGGGTTCTATCTTAGAAAAAAAGAGCTGGCCACACTCACTGGCCGCGCCCCTGAACTCTGTGGCTGGTCTCTATGGCCCGGTTTACTGGAGAGGAGTGTGGCCGAACAAATAGCAATGTCAATGCCGACAAAAATTCATTGATGAAGCAGTTTGCTCTTGGGGTGAAGGTAGGGCGACCAAGAAATCGATTTTTGACTAATATTGGTCTAAACGAATCGCTTTGAAGCTGTTCTATGCTTGTATAATTTGGGATAGAGGGGTTTAGAAGTAGTTTGAGCGGTTGGGTGATGAGGATTTGAGATTGGGGATTTGAGGTAACATGTGGGACGGAGTCTCCTTTTCGGAGGCTGGGAGACTTGTATTCAGATGTGATATGTTGACCCTACTTCAGATCCATTTTGACTTCTTGAGTTGGTCTCGCTCACTTATTTGCCGGCCGACGGCATGAAGCTGACTTAGAGGCATGCTGGAGAAGGGAGGAACCGGATGGGTGTCTCCTCACTCTTGTTGGCTGTAAGCCATCCTTTACAGTCAGGCCGAAAAAGAAATCCTTTACACGGTCAAGAATGACATCTTCCACGTTTTTTTGGACTCCAGAACTCAAGAGTCTAGAGCTCTATCTTTGGTTGGAGATCTTGTTGGAGATATCAAAGCCGTTCCACTTTCTCAAGGCTCAAGAACTCGAGACGTGCGTTGTCTCCGTTGAAGGGCCCGGATCCTTTTTTCTTCCGCCTAAGGGCCCCACTCACCGCGCTCCCCGAGCCGACCGGCCTGGCGAACTTGCATGCGGTAGGCGAGACGGACTGGAGCGTGGACCTGGAAACGGAATGGGATGGCTGGCTGGATGGATGGCTGGATGGATGGCTGGATGGAGGGAGGGATGGGAGCGACGATCTTCGCTTCAGTGTTTTCAGCGAAGGAGAAGGTCCAAAGCGACAAAGAAATCACGTAGGTCAGAGGGACATGGGGTTTGATATCTCAGAAATCCGGGAGCGATGAGTACGACCGAATTAATCCTATTAAACATTAAGTCCCAAAGCAACGCAACTTTGCATTTTTGATTTGGTGACATCCAAAGCAGAAGCAAAAAACTGATCGACTCGATTCGAACTCTTCAGCTTTCGACTCGAGGTCTGGGCGGTTTCGACCGGGTCCTGGATCATCCCTTGGAATGGCCAGAACTGTGGTGAAAAGGAACGTCCCAAGTCCCATACAAGTCCGCTTGGAGAACCCCAACTGGTGTTTGTGCCACCTTTTTGGAAGACTCGTGTCTGTTAGGAAAATGATGCAGAAAGATGTTCAAGCCGCTTCGAAGATTTGTCAATTGAAGCCGCATCGCATCGCCCTTTTTCACCAAACCGGCGGCTTGGGGCCTCGCCCGAAGAGCGCAGGCGCCACGCTGAACTCCGCCGCCCTGCGGGACTTCATGGAGACCAAAGGGCAGTGGAAGGCGCAACAAGAGAAGCTGCGAAGCTTTCTTCCAAAACTTTGAGGAAGATCTTGAACGATTTCAACTCTTTTTATCTTTTGGTGGGTGATTGCTTCTGAATGACTCCATGACCCGGCCCCTCCCATCTCTCCTGATGCCCACTCCCCAACAGACAGAGCCCTCTTTAGAGCCTGTGACAGGTGCCGTTGACGGACGAGGCCACAGAGCCAGAGGAGGTCGAAGAGATTCCCGCCTCCCAACCGCCGCTGGAGATCTTCGACTGTGCTACTGAGGCCGGGAGAGGCTCCTTTGTGAGGCTCAGGTGAGGGAGGTGGGGGTTGAAGGTGGAACAGGTGCAACGTGATGGTGATTGTAGTTGGATCTTTTTGTTTTGGATGGGGGGAGGGAGGATGCAGGTTTCTTTGGGTTCGAGGGCCGATTGATCTCAAGTTGGTTGTACAACCATGCACAAACACACGTGTTTTCTTTTTCTGCACGCAAGTTGTGGGTGATTCGCTGTTGGGAGTCGCATGTGGCGAATGCGAGGAACGCGATCGATCTGTTCCATTTGACCCGGAGAATCTGCTCCAATTGTCACTAGCGGTGTTGGAGGTGCTGGAGGTGCTTTGAGAAGACGGTATGAAGCGGTGATGTTTCAATCTCTTCTAGCTGGAAAACGTCGCCTCCAAGATTTTGGCCGATGAGGCTGGTTCTTTAGTGAGAGAATAGCGTAACGGCGGCATCCACCGTTTTGCGCCACTCCTCCGACTGGGGGTGGGGTATCTGACGATGTCTTTCTGGCCAAGAAGCGGCGGGTCACAACAGTCATAGCTTTTTGAGTTGGCAAGTGCACACACAGAGAATGGACTAAGGGTTTAGGGCTCATTCCGAATCATTTCATCGTTCCTTAAACCAAATCCGGGTCCTTAATATTCCTGTTGAACCCGTAATAGGTATCATATCGGATTCATGTTTGACTGTCGATTTGAGTTCTCTTTCGAACTCTGGCAGAACCGTCTGGATCAGGTGGCCGCGACCTTAGAAGAGGCCCAAGGGGTGCGCCCACCATGCTGCAGGGCAAAGCGCGGGTGGAGGGATGGGGGCCATGGGAAGGAGGGAGGGGCCTTAGTGGAATTTCGTTGGGGCCAATTGGTTGGGGGTGTTTGGACGGAATGGGCAGACTCAGAGGCATCGAAGAGCACCTCCCAAACGTTCCACTTTCTACGGGAGCGGATGGCCGGATGGCCGGATGGTTTGTCGAACTGGGCGAAGGTAGAAGTTTTGGGCGAAGCGGGTCACCCAGTTCCAGGAGTCTTGGAAAAGGTCCCGCCGTTCAGTGGTTTAGGGGCACACTTACGCTCCACCAGGTCTCCCTTTTGTTGGTCTACGGCATGTCTTCTTTAGGCGGTGCTCGCGTACTCCGCAGTGCAGAGCGTGGTTTGGAGAGAAGGATTGTTTGGATGGTCCTGCAGTTATTTGTGACTCAGCGACTCGCTCTAGCATGTTTTTGGATAGGCAAACTGAATAGGGCGTGATTCGGCTGTATGCAACACCCATAAGGTCAAACTATACAGGGCCAAACGTATACAGCCAAAGGTCACCGGTTCCATGGTCCAGTTAGAAACCCGGTTAGAGCTAGCAAGACGCGTCAGTGATCTGTCAGTGAGGTTCGCTGGAACACATGTCTACCACACAGCAACGGGTTGAATGCCAGGCTATCAGAGGATTACCACGTGTTCAGATCCTGGGAGTATATATATATATATATAGTTTGCCGCAGCTCGCCCGGACGATTCCATCCGTTGCGGACGGAAGATCACACCACTGGAAGGGTGTCGGACGGTTGGATTCTTAGTAATTACGGCGGAATTCAGAGCTTCGATGGCACTGGCAGCCCAGGGGAGGTCTTTGCCATTCTTTCACCTGGGGGGTGAGAACATCCACCACCGAACGTTGGAGACTTGTGCCATCTACTCTCCATCCACCACAAAGTGATCCGGTGGCGGTTTTCGACGACAGGATCGACATGCTTCGGATCCAAATCCGGACCCTTCGTTTCGTGCGGCTTCTTCAGCCGGCTCAAAGCTGTAGAGACCAGCTGGAAGAGATGCAAGTAGCTATGCTGGCTGAGGAGCTACTTGGCATGCTCATCCGTTTGTTTGAGCTTTTTAGCCAAGATGATCAGAGTTTCATTCCTATTTCACAGGGTGCCTTTTCTTTTTGGACCCCCAGTGGTTTGAGCGGCAGCTAGGTTAGGGCCATCAGGGCAATGACAATCAATTTGCAATCTTGCTAGTACTCACTGAAGCCGCACACGCACACAGCCACCACCTCTAAATCCCTCCACCTTCCGGATCCTTCAGAAGCCAAATCCTTCCCCCCTCCCCGCAGTACAAGGGACCCCACCAAATCCTTCTGCCGCGCCATCTACTGGGGCCGTGACCGCGGCATCTACGGTCGACTCTTTGGAGTTCCGCGTCATGGAGCGCGGAGCGGCGGAAGCAGCGGAACTGCGCGTGGAGGCGCGGAACGGGGGGGCGAGGAGAGCGCGTGGAGAGTGAGGAGAGGGTTGGGGAGGAGTCGGCTGTTCTGTTTGACATTGACCACGCAAAGAAAGATCCTTTTATAGAAGCAGCTAGACTTATACCAAGGAGCTTCAAAAGCTCCAAACGGCTGCCCAACGAAGCACCGATTGTTTGCCTAAGGACATCCCAAGGACGAGGCAGAAAACACACTCCACTCTCCATATTCCTTGGCCGTCCGCTCGCTTGAGCTGGTTTGGTCCCAAGTCCTTAGAACAGCTGTGCGGTGAGGCGGGCCCGGCAGCAACAGCCCACCGCTGAAGGATTGGATGAATCGACTCCAAATCGATCGGGCCACCGATCGACGTGCATGGGCATGATGCATGACGACATGATGCATGAGGCACGTAAAAATACCTTTGTCTCAAACAAGTGGTGGGCGTCTTTGGGTGGCCCCTTCTTCACACAGCTCATCTCCCAAAGACGTGGAAGACGCGTGCAATTGCTTGAGTTTGGCACCATGAGGCCTGCAAAAATCCACCTCCTCATTTCCCAAGACCTTCCTCAAAGCTTTCGAAAGGTTCAACTCGACACCTTGACACAAACTGGTACCGCAGGTTTCCTTGCAGTTTCGACTACTGCCTTTATCACTTGAGCTTCGCATGGGGGCAAGCAGATCTGCGACAAGGCGTAGCAACTATCTGGTTAGAACATGATTGAAGGCATTGTTCCTCCCAAAACATCCCCAAACCAGCTTTTCATGCACGAAAGTCAGGTTCCTCGCGTTGGTTCCTCACGTTCGGAGATGGCCCATGGTTCGTTTAACCCTTGGGAAGCTCTCAAAGGGCGGGTGCCCACCTTCGCCCGCTTCCGCTGCGCTCTTTTGGGGCTCGGACCGGCGCTGGGACTGGCGCTCTGAACGCCATCCATCAAGGCCAGATGGCGGTGGTGTGTCCATGAAAGCCCAGCAACATGAATTGGTGCAACTTGGTTTGACCCCCAGTTGATGGGAATCAAGATGATATGACCGACCTCTCATGGGGGGAGACCTCTCGCATCCGACCGGAACCCGGTGCCGTTCGACGTGTCGTGGGGCGGCCCGGCTTCTGCCACCGATTCACCACCGCATCACAGCAGCACGATCCGAAAGCGATCAACGTTGGAAAACCCAACAGAACCACGGCGCGTTTGGCCGTTTGGCCGGATGAAATCAAGGGCCATGCCAGAACTTGGAACGACCAACACATATCAACCAATATGTGCCCAGCTGGTGGGCACTGGGGTTTCGAAGCCACGAAGAGAAGAGAACTCTCCAGCGACCCTCGTGCCGCGGCCCATCGGCGACACCCATGGCGACGGCGCCCTCTGTGCCTCGGCCCTCGGGGGGGACGAATGGTGCGAGGACGGTTTTGGAGGGGCATTGACGAGGAGGGCGAGGATGGTTTTCAGGTTTGAGGGTTTTAGATGGGCTCCTTCTGAGAGGTTCAACTCATGGAATTGGAGGAAAAAGGAGGAATGATTCTTCTTCCAGGGCTCACCTTGAGAAGATCAGACGTTCCATGGGCTTTTCCACAGTTTTCCAGGCCGAAACCGAGGACCTCCGGTCGCGGCCGAGGTGCACAGCGCGCGAACGAGCCGCAGCGCCCGCAGCCATCGCAGCACCCAGTCCTGGTGCCTGGGCCGATGGGCGTCCTTGGAACAAGTGCATTACTACTAGGAACAGTGTTTTTCTTTTTCCCCGGCAGCTTTTTTGGGCTGCGAAAGCGAGACAGGTCTTTGCGGGTTGCGGTTGGGTGAACTTTGTGGCGGTGAAGGAAGAAAGGAAGGGAAGGGAAGGGAAGGGAAGGACCAAAGTAAGTTGGCCTTCAAGGTTGGTATTTCCCTGAACTCATCATGGTGGAAGTGGATGGCACCGCGAATACCTTCGCTATGCAAGAAGGCCGGGTCAGCCTTTTAGAGCCTTCACGTGCATGGTCCACGTGTTGCCGCGTGGCGCGACCCTGGTGAGTCCGAGCTCGGTCCCCCTCAGTCGTCGTTGGTGAGACAAGGAAGTCGTGGGTGAGCTTCCGTGCTGGCGCGAGAGACGCGCCAGCGCAGGTGGCAGGTGGGGCAGGTGGGGCAGGTGATCGTCCCAGCACGCCACTTGCACTCGGTTCTGCATCGGAAACCACCGGGTGCGCCGCCCCGACTTGCCGAGGCACGTGCGGAGGAATCTGTTGGGCTGGTTGTGGTGGGCGGCTGGACGCCCCAGCCGCTTCCGGCCGAGCCTGGTGGGTCGAACCAGGGCTGTCGGTGGTTGGGCAATGGTTCAAAGGAACTTCGAAGGGCGGAAGACCAGTGCCTGTCTAAGCTATAAGGCTGTCAAAGACTATTAAACAAATGGTCTTTAGGGGACCTGAAAGGGAACTTCCTTTACTCCAGCCAGTCAAAAAATAGTCTTTGGACTTCTAGGGTAAGGCTGTTGACAATTCGGCCGTTTCCGTTGTTTTCGTCCTGTTTCGTCCATTGCGAAGGAGTCTAGATACCCCTATAGACTCACATGGTGATTTGTACGGGCTTCGAGCAGGAACTCTAGCTCAAAGGAGGTCACCCACACAGTCCAGTTTTCCAGTTCAGCTTGAGTCCATGATCTGCAAAAAATGGACTCCTTCACTACGCCGCTCCTTTGGACCTTCCTGATCCTTCGGGCGGTCTGGGCTGCGCCGGGGAAGGAAGGTGTTCGAGCTGTGGAGAAGCCTACTTCCCGGCGGTGCTGACCCGGGTGGGTCGTAGTTAGGTGGATGAGGTCGGTAACGGACTCAGGTCGGCTTGATCTTCGTGAAGATCATCTACACCATCTCCAACGTCCTCCTCCCCGCCCCTTTGCGACATGAAGCGATCGATCGATCGATCGATCGACGTGTTGGCTATCGACTTGGAAGCTTTGTGTGATATTTTGTGACCGCTTATTTGGGACTACCAACCACCTGGAAAATGTGGCCCAACTTCCTATCCTTCCTGGGTCATGTCCGGGTTCTACGTATAGAAAGACGATGAAAGATGTACCCTTTGTTCGCCGGCTTTAGTGCCCCCGAGGGCTGAAGAGGGGACTGGCGTTCGCGAAAGCCTCTCTTCTTGAGGATTCATTAAACACGGAAGGCCCAACTATGGGTCTATGTGAGTATGGTATTGGCCATGCTTATGGAGAAGTTTCTGCTTCACGGAAGGGACCCTGGGACCCTGGTGGCGAATTCATCCCGGTTTGCACTTGGAAGCTCTGTGAAGGGACAGGCAGCGTGCTGGTTGAGCCATGGCTTGGCACTCAAAAGGCACCCGGCCCGGCAGAAGATCCTGGTCAAGCCTGGTTGTGAACAAGTACAGAGCTTCGCAAAAGGTCGGTCAGAAATACACCACAAAGGAACTCCTTCTTCCAAACCCTTGACTGACAAACGCAGACACTCAGATCCCAAGCTGAATCCCTCTTGGGCTGAGGTCATCCTGTTAGCCCAGATGATTATGTTGGATAATGTCTCTTGGCTGTCATGCAGGGGCAGATTGTGGGTTGTGAGATTGGGACACCATCATGCCTGAAGGAGGTTCAATCGGTAGATGGTCCTAATACAGCAGATGGGCTGAGAGCTTTGATGTTCTGTTCTTCTATTTTTTGGTTCTGTTTCCCGTAGGGCCGAGCCTTCCATTGATGTTCTTCCATCCTGTTCTAAATTTGAGATCATTGGTGAGACTCAGTTTATTTGACCAGAAGGTGCCACGGAGTTGTTCCATGGCCGGGGCAGGATCGGGACAACTCCTTCACACGAGAGCAAGACAGCTTTTGCGATTAACCCTCACCCTGGCCTTCCAAGACCATTAAAAAGATTGGACTGGTGTTGTAGTCCAAATTCCTTCAATGGTTCTTTGGTAAGGACCATATAATGTAAACCAATATATAGTGCCTTCCAGGCGACCAACCCTCAGACACCCTCCTTTTCGCACGAGACATCCCCCCACTCTGAAAGAACGACACACGACCCACAGCCCCCCTGACCGTTTCGGTTCGCACCCGGCCCAAAGAGGGCCCAACTTCGGGTCTGCAGCCGTTGGGCCCGTCACGCAGAGCCGTCGGGGGTTCTGAGGTGGTTTTGCAGCATCATAGCTTGGAAGCCTTAGCATCTTGGACCAAAAAAGCCACACAATGTGCGGCAGTTGGAGGGGCACATGCAAGGTGGTGGCTGGATGTCTCTTTGCCGCCACCAAGTGGCACACCATGCAGCGAAATCCAATCCACACCGAGGAGTGGATGTGGATCCTCCTTTGGGCGCAACTGGCACTGCTACTGCACCTGGTGGCCACCAATCTGGGCGCCACACGGCAAAACTATGGAGGACTCCAGTGGCCCCCCGGCACAGACGATGAAACGACGTCTGGGAACAACGACCCGGGGGGGGCGTGGTTCATTTTCTTTTTTCAAGTGACGAGCTTTTGGAGGTCCACTCAAAAAGAGGACATGGAGGTTTTTCCTGTTCTCGATCCATGTTTTCTTTTTTTCCATGACAAACTTCATGTTTTTGGTGATGATTCATTTTCGCAATGTCATGTTACCGTATTTCTTTTTCCCCATGTTGAGATTCTTGTTTTTATCTGTTTGTTCGAGACTTGTCACCGGTGAGCGCGAAGCGTCTCTTTGGTGTTTCGAACTCCCAAACCCCTTGGTTCCATCGTTCCTTCCTGTGCGTCCGATTTTGAAGCTGGGCCTTCGCAGTCCTCGTCCCGATCCGAGCCGGCCGGGTCGGCCATTCGCGCCCCATTCGACGTCTTTGTGCTGAGTTTTGGTCAGCCGGAGGGGAGGCGCCGATGGTCCGGTTCCCTGTCTCTTCTTGAGCTCGTTCAATGCCGGACACCCCCCCAGCTGGGACCCCCGGTCTCGGAACCACGGCACTTCCGGGCGGCAGCTCTGATCTTTGCGAAGTGGATTTACACCCTGGAAGACTAACATGGAACCTGAAGACCCCTGGTTGGTAGAGGAAAATCGTCTTCCATGGGACCAGGACGTCAGGGTCTATGTGAGTTGACTCGGGAGTGTAATGGATTTGGGCTCCCCTGGGCTCCCTTCAGACCAGAACTCTGGCTGTGACACCACCTGAAAACCGTAGCCAACAAACGCTCCAAACAGGCCTTGGTCCCTCAAACCCATGGGGATTCAGGCTACGGCCCCAACTGTACAGGTCTTCCGAACTCGCGTTTGGGACCGAAGCGTCGCAGTTCAATCGTGACTTCGAAAGCGTGACTTCTCACAGGATCATTTACTGTTGGATCATTGCAGTCATGGCGGGAGTCCTCTTCTTCGACACGTCTCTTGGGCGGTAACCTGTGGTGCTGGGTGCGCGTGCTGCGGAACCTGCGTTCTGACCAGGGGGAGGAAAAATAAGACAGTTCAGTTCTGCCTGGTTTCACCCGGATGTTTCCCCAGTCCCAAAAAACTGGTTATCTGGATCTCAAGCAAGCCATCTGTGGAAGAACCACTTGTTTTTGCTTGGGATCCGGCTTCCAAGTGCCAACCCTCTTGGGCACCGAGCACCGAGCCGTGGGCGTTTGACCGATCCGAATCACTTGCGCGATGGAGGAGGGGCACCAGCTACCTGTGCTCTAGCGACCTGTGCTACAGGTTTTGACTTAGTTCACGTTCTCTTGAACGGTCCGGGTTTGGGTGACAAGAGACATGGGGAGGCAGATGAGATGTGACGAGGAAGAAGCGATATCTGTCCCAGATAGATGCATGGATGGAGAGATAGCCGGCCAGATAGCGGGAGAGCCAGCCAGCTAGAAAGATATACGGTAGCTAGATACAAGTGGACGGCCAGATTGGACGACAGATCTCTCAAGGACCAGCAAAATCTGAATCAAAACGGGTGCCGCGCCCGGTTTGAGTCGAAATTCCCATCCACAACTGCTCACAGATGCTGGTGCCATCTAGCAGCCTCCTGTTCCTATATGGTTGGTGTATGTAGAATAGGGAGACCCACGGTCTAGACCCCGTGGGAAGGAAGATGGACCAGAACCGGTCGGTAGGTTCTCCCTATAAAAAATACGAAGCCATATTACAATGACCCAGAGGAACTAAGACTTTGAACCTTAGCCCGCTCCAAATGAGTGACGATATACAAGATGAGCGCCACCAGGTGAGGCGGATTTTTTGGGATGAACAGCGCATGGATTTTGGGCGACAGGGCTCGACATCGGCCAGAGCATCTCGAAAAGGGTCCTCCCATTTCTTCTCCTCAACCCACCATGTTCCTGGTTTTTTTCCTACTTGGACGACGTGAAGTGGCTTAGTAGCTGGCTTTGCAGCTCACTTGTCTTCTCTCTTTGTTTCAGGCTCCCCCGGATGCAGTTGGAGCAAGATGCCTTGATCTTGGATCTCTTGAGCAGTCGGAGTCTCATCACGGCCACTTGGCACGGACGTGTTTTTGATGAGTTTACTCGATGATCAACCTTCTCGGTCATTTGTTTGTGTTTGGCTGTATGACCCCAAGAAACCTACCAAAAAGATCAACAAAGTAACAAGGAATCCAGAATATATAGATTTAGATACGTGATCAAACATCTGTTGATAACAATGATAAAACGCGTGTATGGATTATTTGCTCATTTACTAGTACCAAAAGACAGCCAAATGTCTACAACAATTTGCGGGTCGGACGCATTGTAACCAACTCAGTCGAGCACGTCAGTTCAGTGGTTTTTCTTGAATGCAAATGAGTTTGGGCGCCAAGGAGGGAAAAGCACTCCACTGGTAGACCCCATTGGTCGAGCGTGACTTGGTAACTGTGAAGCATTCTAATCAACCATTCAGACGGGTCACCAGGGTCAAGATTTCCAGACGGAAACACCGGCTGATCCAAGGGGCCCGACGTCATGCGAGTTATAGTGGCTTCAGAATAGATGGCACAATTCCCCCATAAAAGGTGGGGTTGCATATGGATCTCCCATCTGTCTAGGAACTGGCATCGAACGAACCTCTGAAAACCACTGTAGCTGGCGCACCAGGTGATGTGGCTGACGCCCCTCTTCTACGCCGTCTTGACCTTCCGCACGTTGAAGCAGCTCTTTCAACATCGGCCGCAGGAGGAAGAACAGCAAACCGGCAAGAGGCCCAGCCGGATGGAGGGGCATGGTGGACTGGTGGGCAGCATCCAGCGAGTCTTGGTGGAGGGCGCCCTCGCGGGGGCGCAGTTGAAGTGACGGTTCTTCTGCTGACGACGGTGAGGGTGACTGGTGAGGGTGAACGGCAGGGGAACGGCAGGAAGAGGAACATCAACTGTTCTTGATTGTTTCGAGTCTTTCCTCGAGCTCTTGTTTGCGCGGAAATTACCACCAGCAACCTACTGGGCTTCACGCTTGATAGGTGGCGGCCGTGGCGTTGGAACACAGCACGACCGCCATGATGCGTCAAATACATCTCTGCAAACATCACCTTTCGCTGTCCAGCTGCTTATCCTATCTCTCCTCAGCAGCACGGCCCTTTTCTCCACTTAAGCCTTCAGCAAGAGGTGCAACTCCTTGAAGAGCTCGTGTGGCTTCAAGAGCAGGCAGTGTTGTCTCCGCACATATATTGCATCAGGAGTAACTTCACCCCAGCCCAGCATAACATCATCTGCAAGTCCACGTGCGTGGCATCAAAGACCTGTTCGGAGGCCCACACGGAATCGGCGCAACAGAACAAGCGATCGGCAGGCCGGCTGCTTCTTTTCCCAGGTGATTGCTGGCGATCCATGGCCTCAGTGGTTCCGTGCGTATCTGCAGTGCGGAACAAACTTCCTGCAATTCGAACGCAACCAGGGCCTTTCTGCCTTCTCAAGGGCGTTCGGGCCGTCTTGCGCCGGCAGGGGCGTTGGCGCGCGCTGTATTTTTCGCAGCGCACACCTTTTTCATGTTCTGCCTTCTGCTAACTCAGAGCCTTACAGAAACATGTATGACATTTGAAGCTAGTAGTAACAAGAAGCTTTTTTACTACCTAAGGGCATTACTACTTAGAAACAAGAAGCTACGAACGTAGCGATGCACTTGTTACCAGAGCTCCACACCCAGACCCCCTCCGCCAACCACCATCGCCACGCGGACGGCTTGACGCAGGCGGACCTCGGTGACGCTGGATGCGGCGCTGTTGCAGGACATGGTCTGGCACACAGTGATTGACGCCTGGGCAGGGCCCGAAGCATCCGAAGGACTCGGTCTGACCAGTGGGGAGGTTCCGGGAACCAGGACTCGGACAGCTTTGAGATTTCATGGGTGTTTCCCAAATCTGAATTTTGAACTGAATCAATCAATATCTATACTGTCTATGTCACGATGCGCTTGTTACTAGTAGCTTCTTGTTCCCAGCGATGGCCTCCACCCAAGTAGCGATGGCCTCCAACCTACTAGCGTCTTGCCACTAGTAGCTTCTTGGAGCTACGTTTGTAGCGTCCTTGCTCCGTCCGTAGCGATTCTTTTTGTTCCTAGCAGCTTCTTGTTCCTAGTAGCGATGCCAGGAGCCCCTAGTAGCATCCTTGCTCCTAGTAGTAAAGGCCAGGAGCCCCTAGTAGCGTCCTTGCTCCTAGTACCAATGTTGTCAACTTGTCGACTCGGTGGATTGACATGTGGGAAACCTCACCACTCTCACCACTCCGTCCAGCGACCACCGTCGTCTGGGGGACAGGGGGAGCATGTCGGCAGCGGGAGTGCATTCTTTTGCCCACTCGTTCATTTTTTTAGTTGAATGCAGGCAGGAATCAGGGATAAACTGTTGGCTGGGCCTTGTGCATGCCAGGTCCAAAGTTTGGTGCTGTTTCTTGAACAACCCTTTGTGTTTATGTTGGATCCCACTTGAACCATCTTGCCAGGTGTTCGGTGTTCGTCAACCCTGCAGGTCTTCGTTTTTTTCGCTCTTTCGTGCCCAAAAACCCCGCCACAACCAAGGACATGATCGACATTGTGAACATGATGTTCATGGATTCGGCCGAACAGAGTGAGGTCCGGAGCCGAACGAAGTCCGACGACTCGGCGGTGACTTGCGGTCCGCCCGTCGCGCCGGTGTGCAGACGGAACGGTCTTCAGACGTGGCGGAGTCTCCTCCGGTGGCGGAGGGTTTTTTTCATGAGTCGAAACCACCCATAGGAAATGAACACCCTATGGGTGGTATTTTTGAACACCATATGAAAGTATACATGAGTGTATTATGAAAGTATACCATCCGTAAGACTTGATTGAGCACCGAGACGATATATGTATATGGCTCTGTGAAGTCTTCGTCTCTGGAACATTTTTGCCAAGGCCATGTAGTAGAATTTTGATGAAACAGAATGAAACATCCTGGAGTCACATGTCGGGGTGCCGAACGTGCCGAACTGATCAGGGACTAAACACCACCCAACTCCATGTGACTGATGGATGAATCTTCTTGGTGAGCCTGTTTCATCCATTTGAGACAAGGTGAGTTCTGCCACCATCCTGCGACCGTTGGATCAGTCTGTGGATCCAGGAAGTAAGAGACCTGGAAAGGTTTTCACGGATGACACAGTATATATAGCCAGACCGGGTTGTGGACCTCGTTTGATGAGACAATACGTATCTTATAGAACACCTCCATAAGTCATGCCAGTTGCATCCCAAAGAATTATGTTGCAGGATCCCCTGGGCGATCTTTTGTCGAACAACACATCCAACCTTCCCTCTCGGAAACAGCTGAAAGAGAACAACACCTGTGAAGAACCACTTTACTTCACCGGCGAACCCCGCGACGTGGCGGAACGGCGCCTCACTCAGGGCGCCTCGACGCAGTTCTTGACCTACACCCACCCAGATGAGGCACCCTGCAAGGGCACGTGCGTGGCCGCATTGGTGGTCTGCCGCACGGTTTGGGGCGCCATCGTGTGGTTCAGAGGTCGCCTCAGTGACCTGACAAGGGACCCGCGGTGCGGGTCACCTGGGCCCGGTCGAAGCTGTCGGGGTCGTCTCCGTCGGGTCCTTCTTCCGAACGCGCGCGCCGAATCGGGGCCCCACGGTGTCGTGCCGAAAAGAGGGCCAAGTCGCTCGGTGTTGGGCCACGAAAGACCGTGACCCTCAACGGGGCCAAAGTGTTTGTCTTCCATGGAAACGTTGAACCCGAAAACGACCTGGAACGGAAGACGTGGTGTTCGTTCCAAGAAGCCGGTTATGTGGTTTTCAGGTTGCATGTGCATTTTTTTCCGGGGTGTATGTTCTTTTGGCCGGGTCTTGGACAGGGGTCCCCATGCTCTGGTAGGTAGCGCGATCATCCACTCGATCATCCACGCACGCGAGGTGCGGCGGATCCAGATCGCAGCGGGGACCTTCATCATCCTGGGGCTCTTCTTCCATCAGCAAAGCTATCCCAGCCACCCGGGCTTGCAAGGTTTGCAAGGTTTGCAACTATTATATAAGTCGTGTTTTTGGGAAGAAACACTCTGTTGTTGTTTTTGGGGGCTGGTTCGCTTGATGAGGTTGGTTGGTGACTGGTGACCTTGAGATTGCTCTTCCCCGCCATAGAAGATGTGAATTCTTTTGGAAGTCTTTTGGTCTGCGACGAGGTCCATGGCTGTCTCTGGAGAGATGGGAACAGATGTAGGCTGTCTAGGTCTAGGCTGTCCAGTGCAGCATCAGTTGAACGAGATAAACCTCATTTGACAAGCAGAGCGTTTGGTCTTAGAGGTTTTGTTCACTTTTGGACCCACTTGACCTGTGGGGCTTTGGGGGCCCCCGTGGCTGAGGCATTCGATGCATTGGTGGCTCTCAGAGTCAGGCGCCAGGGCGGTCAGGGCAGAGGTGAGCCCCTCCCCGATCTGTGTGGAAACGCGAAGGAAGAGGGAGACCAGGACCCTTTGGAGACCACAAAGATCTCAGAATCCACCACTGCAGGATGATGTTTCATCATCATCATCATCATCATCATCATCATCATCATCATCATCATC